AATGCTTCTCCCATGATGTCTTTGATATCTTTCTTGGAACTCGAAATCATTGGCGACGTCCATGGCGCAGAAGAAGGATTAGATGATGAAGCTATGGCTTGTTTTTGGTTTTTGATAATTGCCCTGGATTCAGATGGAGACTGTGCTATTCGCGGGTCTTGCGGTGAAGACATCTGATCCTTCAAGAAACCTTGATCACCGAAGGACTCGGCCTCTGGGATGCTCGCCCCCAAAGCTGGGGAGTCGGGGTATGATCGATTTTCGGGTATGCCTTCCGTGAACCTGAGTCCACGCATGGCACTCTTGCCTTTCGAAGGACTTGGCGACATAAGGGCCTCATCGTCCATTTGAAACATGAGATCTCCAACTGACTGCCTCGGCTTCAGGGTTGGGCTACTACCAACATTTGGTGATCCTCCGGATACACTGGTCTTCGTTTTGCGCACAGACGGAGATGAAGCGGCCTTCTCGTTAGGTGTTGACCGGGCTCGGGCATCATAAGGCTCGAGACGGCCAAGGCGGAACTGCAAAGCCATGGCATCGATCCTTCGTTGCTTATCGGCTTCCACAGAGCTGATAATTTCGGGGTATTTCTCGAAGACATACTCCTCAGAATTCCGCCCACGGGATATGGGCCAGCATGCTAGCTGATTCTCGCGGCAGATCAGATCCAACTCGGAAAGGAGAGTGGTATCCAAATCTTCGAGATATCTATTAGCGAGCATGGCCTCGAGATTCAGACAGATATATTCCAGGGCGGCATCTTTGAACTCTGTGACACAGCAAGGGGCAATGGAATTGAGCAAATAGCACACGTTGCGCGTTGTGACAAAACGACCAAGCATCTTCTGGCAAATTTGAGACAGTCGATCGATCATCAGCTCATTTGCCACGAACATTACATCCAGAAGCAAGTCAATAAAATCATCAACATCTTTGGTCCGGACTTCGTCAAACAACTGTTCTTCTGTGTCAGCATACAGATAACGCAAAACAAATTCAAATGTCGAGCGATCAATGTGCTTTAGGTCGACATGCACACTCTGGTTTTGGTCCGTTTTGCGCGAGTCTAGCCATCTTCCACCCGCATAGCCGTGGAAAAGAGTGTCAAAGAACGGGCATCTCTGGCACACAGCTTGGCTATGCACTTTGATTGTATCGCCTTTGAGCTGCACCACCACGTCTGCGCTGTCAAATAAGGATTGATGATTGATGGCATGCGCCATGTCTATTTTCAGGCTTCTTTGAGGCTCGACCATTAGTCGTGCTGCCCGCTCCAGTGCTGGCAGGCCTAGTTGAATAGAAACCCGCATAACTTCAGTGCGAACCTGCCGGAAACGGGCCGAGTTTGCGGGTGAGCTCTTTGCTAGGCGCCAAACATCGAGGATACCGTCTGTGTAAAGGAAAAAGACCACATTCATAACGGTCAAGAAATCAACACCTTGAAGGCGGATCTGGGGATGTCCGTCCTTCCCATATTCAATATCAAAAACGTCTGGGACGGATGCATAATACGACTGACGGAACTCGGCCAATGCCTTTCGCAAAATCGGACTACGACCAGCTATAAGAAACTCATGAACAGGAATGCACGAGTCCGATAGGGAGCTGGTCACCCAAACAGTCCCCTCGGTCCATACAGGAAGGAATTGGCTTTCAATATCCGAGGATGAAAGTATGGCTCTTTGGATACTTTTTCCAAATGAAAGTACAAGAGGGATATTCTGAGCGTCGTCTTCGAGGATCGAGTCCAACTCTTCCAGACCTGGGATTGAAAATGGGGACAACGGCAATATATCATCCCAAAGTTTGCTTTGCTCGACATGAATTTGTTCTCTCGTCACTTCACAGTCACGTTGGGCGACAGCGTAGGCCCCGAATGCATTGCTGCGCACTGCCACTGCCCGTGAAAGACCAGGTATGCGGGCAAATTTGTACTCTTTCGAGGCTCCCGCTTTGTTCTTTGTCCGCCGTTCTTTTCTCCAGGCCGATCCAGATGTTGTACAGATGATGATCGAACCATCTTGTCCGACATCAACATCGCTTGCTGCCATGTATGATTTCTTGACGGACCATGCTCGAACAGGGGCGGCTAACGAATTCCGAATCTTTGCGGGATTTGTTGTGGATGTTAAAGCCGAAGAATTGTCGGATTGGTTGGCTTGGACAGTGAACACATCACCAGAGCTAGACAATGCACATATGGTGTTACCTCCACATACAATCTTGACAACACGATTCACAGTCTTGTCGTATCTGGTTACCATGAAGCTATCCCTAATAAATCTGGAGCTCACCTCCAGTGGGAATGAAAGCTTTGAATAGCCATATGACGAGAAAACCCAGACTTCGTGATTCTGCAGAAGCACAGACGTAGCACGGTCAATAGCGGACACCATCTTGATTGGGCAATTGAAAAGGGATGCCCCAACGCGCCGCGGTGTTGTTTGTACCTCGAGCGAACGCGCATCGGAATCGACTAGGCCAAGCTGACCTTCGTTCTTGCCAAACGTATAGAGACCTGAGGTACTGAAGACCACCGAGTGGATAGAGGATGCCGCTGCACCTATGATTGTCTCTTTCTTGAACGGGTTGAAGATCTGGCGAGGAGTCGTCTGGATGGGGATATCGTTTTTGTTGCTAGTCCTGGGCAGGCCATAGCCAAGTTGTCCGAACTTGTTGCTTCCCCAGCTGAAAATCTCGCCTTGCTCGGTAATGGCCAGACTATGGTCTTGACCCAGAGCAGCCGACACGACTTTCTTTCCCTCCAGTCCACCTGTTTCAATACAAACGAAAGTGAAACGTGTCGACTCATCTCCTGTTCCTAGGCGCCCTCCAGGCCCAAATCCACACATGAACAGATTAGCCTCGGGGTCATCTGTGATTATGGCGGTATGTAGTTTGGACATGATGATGTCTTGATATTTTATTGGCTTGTTTGCGATCAACGTGGGAAGCTCGGTCGATTTGCTCTTCGGCACGCTATCTTCCAGCCCTAGGTGCTCCAACTTCTCTTGGTATTCACGATAAAATCGATGCAAAAGATGCTCGGGGCGCTTCAATGAGATGCGCTCAGGAAACTGTCTGTCATCCTGATCCCCTAGACCAAGGTTCAAGTTTTTGTTGCTTCCTAGTGTGAAAACTTCATCGGCAGAAATATCCACGGTTCCTTTCAGAACGCCCCTAAGAGCATATGCCCCGTCTTCCCCGTCATCTCCAAAGTTTTCGCCGGCATTGGAAGCAGCATCGCTGCCCAGAGCATCATCATCAAGATCCAAGTTCGGCCAGTTTTCAGATTGATGCTTAATGTCGCGAGCTCTAATAGTCGCCCCGAAGACGTCAAAGGGACTGCAGCCCTCACGGTCCTTGACCTTGATCAGGCCACCACTCGGATGGCTCGTATTCCCACCTTTACTGAAATCCGTCATATCCTGCAGGTCGCGCGCCATGAGCGCCAGAGCAATTGTGGCGTTCCCGGTGTAAAGAGCCCGATGCAGAGCTGTCCATCCGCTCTCCCAGTCCTGCGCATAGATATCGACGAATGGAACGTCCAACAAAGCGCGGGCGAACTTGAAGGCGGTAGGTTTCGAGGACGAAGCGACATGATGGAGCAGCGTACGGCCGTAATGATCGCGGGCATTCACATCGGCGCGTGACAAAGTCGCGCTTCCGCGCGGGAAGGCCGTCCGGTCAGGCACAGAGGTCCCAGGCGATGATTCGATATTTTTCTTACCTCTCGGTGTATTCGGAGATGAAGCGATCATGGACCCGGGGCTTCCAGCCTTCGATGACAGATTTGTCGCAGCTCTGGATGTCCCTCCGGAGCCCCCCTGCAGCTCGTGGCCCCGCGAACGTCGCGTTCGCCAGAGACCGCTGGAACCGCTCGACATCATCTTGAATGAAACACTCCCAAAGCTTGTTACTCATGTGCCCGGAGTGATTGACGCGCCGAATCTCTTATCAAGCCCAAGCTGAACGTCGCCGTCACCACAGTGGGGTGGACCGCGACGGGGGAGCTGGGTGATAAGAGAACTCTGGTTCGAGGGGAAAGGATAAGGATTGCCGACGCTATGAGTATAGGTCGATGCGATCTCGGTATCACAAATTGCCTTGTGGATTTGACGCGAAATCGATTGTGGGCTCGGAATATGCGCGTGTGGCGAAGTGCTTATTTGGCGGGCAACTCGAAAGTTTCGAACAGGACGGGTGTTCGGTAGGGTTGGAAGATCGTATAATATCTCGGGATACCCAGATGGTTGGAGAGAGCAAGATGTTGTCGCACTTGCCAGAAATCCAGGCCGGTTTGCCCTCGATGTCATCCGTGGATCGTGGACCCGCTCCACAGTTAATTATAACGCCCGCCGGGTCAAAAAGTACATCGACACTCCCTAAGTACGGAGTAGTACATCTATATCGGAGTCTCCGGGTCATTTCGGACTTGTCAAACTACTATGAATGGGTCAAAGCATGTCTCTGAAATGAAGTGATTCGAGATTCAAGGGTACACAAATCACAATCAAGTAAAAGTAACATATACCAAAACTATCACTTGATCAAGTCGAGAGAAGAAGTTCAATGATATAGACATCTAAGCCTATGGAATAAATCAACCCTTCCGCGGCTTGCAATTCATTGCTCACTTCCAAAGTAGAATCTATCTTTCTGGGGTACTCTTACGTTGGTGGGGAAAAGAAGTCACTAAAGCCCTTCTATACTATAGGAGTCCGTGTTATGTGCCTATATGGACGTTATCGCCTTCCGTGGAATAACTCTGACCAATAACGACGCGCACGTCCCTCCATGCCCCCGGACGAGAGGCGAGGATCATCCAGGGCAGAGCTCGTGGGGAACTGATAGGGTGATGCACCCTTATGTATATCCTACTGAGGTATGTTGTATGTATGACATTTCATTTCAATTTGGATTTCTCGAGTTAGAGTTCAGATGGCTCGTGTAGAATGACCTGGTGACATACGTCGTCCGTACCACACAGACCAGATCTACATCATAATCTTTCGGCCAGTTTCCAGGTCCTGGATCCCTTTCTTCAGCTGCGTATGTCTCCGCCTCAGCACCGCATTCTCCCCCGCAATATACACTAACTGGTCTTCCGCCAGGTCCGCAACAAACTGGGGCGAGAAAAGCCCAAGCGGCATGCGTGGCCCGGTGAGCAGACAGTAGCCAGTAGCTTGCATGCAGATATTGTCGACGAACCGCTTGGATGCCACTGCGTAGTACGCTGCCAGGATATCATGGATGTAGCGGACGGTCCGCTGGGTGTTGCTCATTAGTGATTTTGTCTTACCATTCACAACCTCATACTGCTCCCGGTGGCTGGTAACATGATGTCAGTATATTTCACAGATCAAATAGATTAATCGAACACACCTTTTGCTTTGGGTTCTTGAGAGATTTCTATGAAATTTGTTGTCCAGAGTCATCAGATTCATGCGCTCGACATCGAAAATCATCTGAGCCTGGTCCATCGCTTCCTTGTATCTCTTGGACAGTTCATCAACGAGCACATTCACCAACTTATCGCGGATTTGCTCTTCCGGGCATATGAATAGAAGGACTTTCAGGATGAATGTATGCATGATATCAATCACATTGCTGACATATCCGAGTGCAAATTCGGTCCATTTGCTAGATTGCTTGTTCATTATGGTGCACAGTAGCGATGTCTGGAATGTTCCGATCTCGAATCCGCGGGAAGCACGGTATTAGCCCTCAATCGATGCGAGGATGCTGTCACCTGTTGGCTTTTTCACGGTCTGTTGTTCGTGGAGAATACCATCAATGGCGCCGCCGTGCTCCGACGCATTCATGTTCTTACGAACAGGAATTTCATCCGCCTCCTCACCATTATTGTCATCGTCACCGTCATCGTCGTCAATCTCAAAATTAGGATCAGAATCAGAATTGTATTCGGATTCCAACACAGCTCCTAACACATTGAGTAGTTGTGTTCCTGGTGTCCAACGAAGAAATTGGTACTCGAATCCATATTCTTCCATGTCGGACTTGAAAACATCCATGCGGTTTCTGACTATTGTTGCAAGTCGAGAATCCTTGTCTTTTTGAAACAGTTCGTGTGTGCCATAGGAAGTTGCCATGACCTGCGAGACAATATCTTGAAACTTCATTATGATGTCGAGCAGGAAGCTTCTCTGCTGCTCCGGAGTGCTTCGTTCAATGCCAAGAGCAGAGAGATCCTGCTTCATGTTCTTCAACTTTAGACTAATCTCGGCGCACATCTATACATACAGCTAGCCAAATCCGTGAGGAAAGTAGTAAAATGACGCGATATGCCTTAGGAAATTCTTGACGAATTTGGGTGGTTTGCACATCTTTTAGGCGGATCTTGAGGGCAGCAATGCCAACCTTTTCTCTTGAGAGGCTATTCCATGGGTGAGCTTCACAGAAGAACTGGGCTTCAACCTCATCTCGGTTGGAGCTCTGGTCAAGTAGCTGCTGTTGACCGGCATTGCGCACAACAATCCAGCCAAGCTTCAAAGAGCAGGTTTTGCCTTCCACCAGGTCGATGACTTTGTCCTCAGCACCCTTGTCTACCAGATCAGGTTTGATAAATACTCCCTGTGTGCGACTTCCCTGGGGATCGCACTCACGCGCCATCTCCAAAATCTCTTGGGTGGCTATGTCCACATTTGCGGGGACCACGGTCAGCATGATAGAACGCGGGTTGCGCATGTAGCTGAGGACCATATCTTTCACCATTTTCACATATTTCTTGGTAGTGAGACCATCTGTCGTGTTCTTGAAAATGCCTGGGACATCAATGATGCTCAAATTATCTTCTTCGGGGCCACAAATCTCTAGCCGGAAGACGTCTTGGGTGAAAGTAGGCTTGAAAATTTCCTCCTTGGAGCTCGACAGACCCATAGTCTGGTGAACCTATAGAGACCAGTTAACAACCGAAGGCTTCAGCCGTCATTCTTTTAAGTGGTACAGCTTACTTCGCGCATTGTCCGAGCGAAGGATTCGAAATCGAGTGACTCCATAAGGCTTGCTTTCCATGTCACTAAATGAGAAGCATGCTCCGCGTGTGTGTCGCTTGCTGGAACAATGGAGGCGCTGATACTTCTCTTTGTGTCGGCCCTGGTACGTCGAAAGATGATATGAGTAGCAAATCGTGTGCACAGCCCACTATCTCTAGGGAATGGCAATCTGGTAAGACCCTCAAGAACAGAGCTCTTCCCGCTCGACTGGTCTCCCACAACAACAAGCTGAGGGAAATTGACGTACTCAGTGAGATTGTACGCTAGGAGCTGGTCAATTTTGTCCAGCAGCACTAGGTCACCGAGCCCTTGCCCTGGAAACTTTGGGGTAAATATGTCGGCCATTGCAGTAGCGAATGAAGATGGATGAAAGAAGTCTCGAGTGTTTGCTAGATGAATGAATAGTAAGAGAGAGGGAGAGAATGAGAAGAAAGAGATGGGGCAACGATATGATATCTTCCAAAGCCCGATCCAGACTAGATTCTAGGAACTATAGACCCTGGGGTGTTCTAAGATCTCAATCACATCCTCTTCATCGTTTATATAGACTCTCACTTTTAATCCAGTAGCCCCCCCCCGAAGTCCATCCATTCATCCAGACTCAGCCCTGTCCACCATTTCCAATTCTTGTTGATGTTAACTATCTCAGTATATGCGTCCAATAGTTTGTAGTTATAGAACTAAGTACCGAAGGCCGAGTATGATACTAGGCCATTTAGTCTGGGAGAGCCTTAAGTTAATACTGCTGACGTCGTATGCTCTCACCAAATGGTCCTCTACAAATAAAGCTATGAGCAGACCTCGGGAAAGCCGTTTAGTAAGAAAATCCCTTGGGAGCGACTACCTATCTAGCTGTTCAACTACCCATCTCCTAGTTCAAAACACTGCTTCTTATCTCTTTCAACTCTTCGATTAATTGACATATTGAACATCTTGACTGAAATCAATGAATACAAAACTCCTTCGTATCGTCCATCTTTCTAAACTCGGGGGAATCCACGGGCAGAACAAATGATAATCTACCATGGCAACAATCTGCATAATATTTGCTTTAATCAGAATACTCGGGTTTTTCCCACTCGGGAGGGATCACATCCAACATGCTTTTGAATCCTCCGATGGTGCGGTCATCAAAAACCATCTCCTGGTCAATAGTAACCCTGTTTTCACGAATTTGGATAAGCCACCATGATGCGAGAGCCGCAGCCTGGTCCCGAACCGTACGCAGATTTTGCCTAGGTGTATTCCACTTGACTGGCAACGAGATACAGTGATCCCCTAGCCCATGCAGTGGCTGGTGGGTCATGGCGATTTGGCCATCTTTGCACTTCCGAATTACAAACAACATAATTGCTTCGTCACTATGGGTGCCATTCCTCGCCTCTGGTAGGAGTATAGCACTTACCCAACAATAGCCCTCGCCATCGTCACAAGGATCCGGGATATGGTGCTTGCGGGTTACGAAGGGACTTGCTTGCACACGCATTCCGCTATATAATGTTTTGTTCTTCAAGAGAAAACACTCTAATCATTTATAGCACCAACTTATGACGGTCCAAAGAGAGAGTAAGGGTTTATGTAGTAAAATCTGAGATGCCATGTGTTTGAACAAAGAACAAAACCTCAAAGAACTTCTGCTGCTACAATGGTCTTTTCTATTAATAAAGAGATCCGTTACATCTAAGTTAAGTTTTACCACAGGGTGAATCAGCTGCTGAAAATGATTACTATCAGTGGCACAGCGAGATTCTGCAGCTCGCATAGGATTTCTCACCGTAATGTTCCCAACAAATATTTCTTATTAACCACATTGTTGAAACATCAGAAGGGTCAATTCCACAGCTTGACGATCCATCCTCCCTACACCACTTGTACCTACACCACTTGGAAACATAATTTCCGACTACTCCGTAGGCAACAGATGGATCTCAAGGTGGATCTGGTGTTGGTGGGGAGGATTCGTAGTGATCATCGCGAGATTTCCGTGGCCATCCGTTCCGGAATCCCGAAATCCGGTGAGTGAAGGATGGTGGAAATTACTGAGTGAAGTGAGAAATCATGAGAAAGAATAAAAGCTACATTGGCTCAAAAATGATGAGGGAAGAGAGAGCCTCCGCCGCTGTCAGACGCTCTGCATGTAGGTATAGCCTATAGTAGTATATTGTCCATGAACAACGTAACATATAATAACTCTTCTACTTCCACCTATCGGTCTTAGATCCTATTCCATTTCCTTACTTCGGACCAAGCTTCAGCCTTACCGAAAAGGGAAGTGTCATCTGCCTCCCAACATCCTGCTCGGCTTAACTCCCGATGCCGAGTATATTAAAACGAGGAAGGCCGAATAATGCAACCCAAGCTCTTTCATGTGAAGGAACAATATGGAGCTAACGACAGCCTCTCATGCAGGAGCCTGGTTCTTTCCATATATCCTCCGCATAATGAGGGGTAGCGCTAAGGCAATATCAGGTTAGAACACTGTACAACTAGTCGGACCTGTATTCATCCGGAATATATGGAGACCGTTGTGCTTATTATTCTAACCTGAGGCGTATCCATAACGTATGCATTGCAGAGCCAGGGTTTCCCCAATAAAATGTCTCACTCAAAGGGCTTTTCATGAAGAACTCTCTTTGTGCGGGGCTAACGCCGATCCTTCACGAGTTTGAAAATTTGCTGGTCCCCAACTTTCATCGAGAGGTTGATCATAAAAAGAAAGGGTAGAGAGGTAAGTCTATCGTAAACGTTTATTAGCAGATCTTCTAATTTCATGTATTCATGCTTCTGTGAGAAAAGATATAAAAAACTAACTTCACATCAGGGGGATCTCCAGGGCATCAGACGTATCATGCATTGCCCTGAACTGCTTATGGAGTCTCCCCATAATCAGGGGCGATGATCGTCACCCTATTCACCAACCTCGGTAATATATCCGTCTATCCATCACATTCTCAGGAAGAAAAAGTATGTATTATGTTTAGATCTTCCGAAGTATATAATGTGAAGAAAGCCCCTTCCCTCGTTCAGCATCACAGCCCCGACTCTCCTATATCGAGCAAGAAAATGGCATTGCCCCTTGCACGCATGGTGCGCCTTGCCCTGGTTGGGCTGATGGCATTCACTTCAATTGCCTCAGCGCTGCCTGCCCAGGTCTCTCGCAGAACGGTTCAGCCTCCCGCCACTGATCCATTCTATCAGCCGCCTGCTGGCTACGCATCCGAGGCGCCAGGAACAATACTGAACCAACGCAACATCACTGCCGCGTTCTTTGGTGTCGTCCCGGTTGACGTAGAAGCCTATCAGCTGCTTTACCGCACGACTGCAGTTAATGGCTCGGCCCTTGCAACAGTCACCACGGTGTTCAAGCCAAAGAACGCTAAGCTCGATCGTCTCGTTTCCTTCGCCACGGCCTACGATAGCTCTGCATCGAAATGCCAGCCTAGCTACGCGTACCAGCTCGGTGCGGCACAGGACAGTTTGATCGCTTCGGTCGAGCTATTGATCATTGAGATCTACCTTGCTCTTGGTTACGTCGTCGCTTCTCCCGATTATGAGGGACCCGATGCTGCCTTTGGACCGGGTCGTCTCGCAGGTATGGGTGTATTGGATGGTATCCGTGCCGTGCAGAGCTTCAAGACCTTGGGTCTCACCGATAGCCCCATGATTGCCGGCGTCGGTTATTCAGGCGGCTCCATTGCTACCGGTTGGGCCGCCTCTTTGCAGCCCACATACGCATCGGAGTTGAACATCAAGGCCTGGGTGCAGGGTGGAACACCTGCCAATGTTACTGGCACAATGTATCAGCTTGATAACACAGCCTTCAGTGGCTTGCTTCCCCCGGCTTTCGTTGGTCTTTCAAGACCGAGCGCCTACGGTGTCGACCTGGTCCCCTTCTTCGACAAGGTTATGACGGTAGAGGGCCAAAAGATACTGGACAGCGCCGCATCCCAATGCTTCACTGCGAATCTCGCGACGTTCTTTGAAAAATCGATCTTTGACACTAGCTTCCAAACTCTAGGCGATGATTTCATCTTCGACCCGATCGTTCAGTCAGTGTTGAAGCAGAACAGCATGGGTGTGAAGAAGGACGAGACCCCGACGGCACCAACATTTGTGTACCACGCCACAGACGATGAAGTCATTCCTTACTCGGATGCCAACACTCTGGTTAATTCCTGGTGCAACTGGGATGCAAATGTGAAGTTTACTACGTATGCCAGCGGTGGTCACGCGACCACTGAAATCATTGCCATTCCCGAGACCATCCAGTTTGTCCAGAATGCCTTTGCTGGCACGACCAAGAGTGGCTGCACCACGAGTACTGAACTTGGCAGTATTCTCAACCCGCTTGCTCTTGGTGCGGGGCTTGAGCCTATTCTTATCAAGCTCATTGATGCGCTGACCCATTTGGGTGATCAAGACTCGAAGGTCAAGAGCGACCCCGTTACAGTGCTCAACACAACCCTTTAAGCGAATGCTGACATTTGTTCCCATTGCGCATAATGACCATTGGGGGTTTGAGTCCAACTGTTGTATATGTTCTTGATCTACGGGGTATATATGTGCACATAAGTTATAATTTCGCTCTCCCACTTTGTCTTTGTGTATTTTGGTCATATTTTAGCATCCTTTGTCCATGGGAGTATATATATATATACATATATTTTCTTTCAATATATAATGTTTATCATCAAAAATGAAAAGTCAGGCTTTCCTCTGTACATCTATAGATACATAGATACATACATATATAGTCATTGATCTAATAGAATGGAGTTATGACGTTGGATCAGATAACGGTGTAACGTGCCAAAATAGAATATGGGGAAATTTTGAGAAGATCCTTATGAATTAGATATAAAGTACATAGTCAGATATAACTGAACATACTCATCACCTGCCTATACCTACCCCAGACTATGTAACGATGTAACGATGTAGATATTTTAACATCACGCCTTGTAAGTCGTGATCGGGTGCTTATCGGTTCCAGGGTACCTTGCCCGGGTATGGCGATCCTTGCGACCGTGCATGGTACCCGGTTTGTACAACAGTCTATCTTCTAGGTAAAGCTAAGAGATTTTTCTTAAGTCAAAGCAAAGAGAGAGAAGAAGATCCAGAATATAGGCAACAAACCCCCGTGTTTGCATCATATGTGTGGCGTTCTAGGCTGACTAGGGCACTCGAGACCTGTCGAGTCACCGGATGTGCGTCACAGACGAACTATCTTCATTATCACACCCCTTCTCTTTCCTTTCTCCGCATCCTGTCTGGTTTATCATTTCTTTCTGGACTTTCTTATATTTCTCTCGCTTCGCTACACCTCACACAGCAATCTCATCTAA